ATATAGAAATGAAAAATATTATGTTTTTTTGTTTTATGTTATGAGTTAATAAGCAATTAGATATTACTTGAAATGCCTAATTTTAATAGATATGCTGATATATATACTATTTCAACATTCTAGAAATCAGGTTAGTATTTCAAGAAGTGATCAGAAAAACAGACAGATTCTGAAACAAAAGTTTGTAACAGAATGTGTCTGCACTTCAAGAACTGGTTAGGTGCTTCTTGAAATGGTAAATTTCAGCATAGGGCTTTAACATATATTATGATATTTCATACACTGTATTAATTTTATCTTTTGTATGTTAAATACCAACTGTACCAGAAAACTGGAACTGTACATGTAGATAAGAATTAAACCTCTCTGCAAAATTTCCAGCAAAAAAATTCAATATCCTAACATTTTCGGCCACTAGTTTATCAGACCTTGTCAGGAACTGTAAAATGGAAAGACCATTCTATAAATAGAATGCCATTGTGTTCAGAAAAACTATATCAACAGGACAATAACATCCTGAAGTACATGAACATGAGGGTCATCAATCTGAAAGCATCTGTTCTGATGTAGGTTGTGATGTAGATACGAAAAAAAGCTCAAGTGGATATTCAGTTTGCAAAAACATCCCAAACAAAAAATTAGCAACGTTATTGTTTGCTGGGACAACATTTCTCCTCCAGAATATTTCCGAAGGACATTCCAATTCAGACCAGTGTTCGTTCCTCAACCTGGTGCACTCGCCCACCAGTGGCCAAGTGGCAATCCCTGAACAATGGGAGTTTGGTTGTGGGTTTGCACTTCACTTGGATGGGCTTTCCATGTGGAGTTTTCCAGGTTTTCTCCATGTCTGTAATGCCTAAATAGGGGCCAGTTTCTCTTAAAAGACCTACTGAAAGGCATCCCCTAGGCAGATTGCTCAAGTTGCCATAACTTAAACAAACAAACAAACAACCCATTCTTGGTTATACCAAATATGAAAAATTTACTATCATCTGGAAATAATAAATGTCTGGACACCTGCAAGGACTATCTTAGATGGAAGGCACTTTTTGCTATTGAAGAATACAAACATCAACTGGAAGTTAATAAATTCTGGGACTTCATCAAACGAAGTAAAAATTGGCTCAGATCCCAGGATATCACATTGGTCAAGGCTGATAAAAGCAAGGCAATCGTGATCATGAAAAGGTCTACCTACATCGATCTATTGCAACAGTACATAATAGACATGCAATGTCAGCTCTCAGATGCCTCATATATAATGAAACTACAATGTTGTATCAGTAGATTCACACGCACTAGCCTTGCAGTGGCACTAGGCCTGCTACACACATTAGTCATCTCCCCAGACACCCTCACCTGTTCACCTTTGCCAAAATGCACAAACTTGGTCAACAATTACGTCCTGTGATCTACAAAGCCAGATCCCCAATGTTTTTATTGGAACAACGGATCTATCACCTGTTAAAGTGATAGATCCGTTAAACCTTCAATTATATACATATATGATCTCTGATTCAGGTGCACTTCTCTCCAAACTTGCTGCTATTAATTTAAATGGGAATGAATATCTCACAGTGTTTGATTTTGTTTCCATGTTTCCATCTATTTATTTAGAACCATGTTTTTGCGCATTAAGAGATTTCTTTCTAAGCTCTACCCTGGTGCTCAGTCATTCCACTCGCAGATATTAGAGTTTATGCACTTATTGCGCTATTCATCCTGTTTTTATTTTGATAAATGCATGCATGTACATCCAAAACCAAAGAAAGGAGAGTACCCATGGGTAGCCCCATTTCAGGTGATTTCTGTGAACTTGTCTTGCGACAATTGGAGGAGTGGTCCTTAATAAACATCAAACATAATATCCTTATTTACACCCGATATTTTGATGACATTTTGATTGTATGGAGAAATAGACCAGATACTGGGAATGTGTTAAAGATGTTTAATAATAACAACTACGGATTAACACAAAAATTGGATCAAGAGAGCTACACTAACATTAATTTCTTAGACATCAAGATTCAAATAGCTGATAATAAGTTCAACACCACAATTTACCGCAAACCTACTTTTGTCCCCCTATTCATACCGGCCAATTCAGCTGACCCATGGTCATGTAAGGCATCCGCATTACACACACTGGTAGTGAGAGCCTACTCGCATTCTTCGGAGAGGTCAGATACCAATTCAATTCAATTCAATATTTTATTGCTGCACAAGGAAGTACAACACTGGTACCGCATGTAGCACAACTGGTAACAAATGCAAAAACAAATACATGAAGTACAAAGTGTTAGAAGTAGATTGATTAAACAGATAGCATAAATTTGAGATATAACTTATGATAAATTCATACATAAAATTGGTATTAAATCAAGACAATTTACATTGATATAATTAAGACAAATTAATTAAAACCAATACATAATACAGTATATGATAGTAAGTAAAAACAGGTACAGAATACAGATGTTGGGATGCAGTCCGAGCGATGAGGATCAGGGAAGAGTTATGGAGGAACGATTATCAACAAGTCTGAAGTACTGGGTAACCATCTGGATAAAGTAGGTGTAGGTAGTTCGGTCATTAACTAGATCATTGAGGTTGAATGGCCATTGGATGCTCCTTGAGTTAATGATGGTTTTAAGTTGTAGCCGTTCAGCCTCAAGCATTGGGCAGTTAAAAATATAGTGAGAGGCCCCATCCTGAATGTCACAGAGAGGACGGATATTAGTTGAGTAAGAGGCAAACCTGTTTAAGTATAGTCGACCCCCCCTATAACACTGTTGATTTTTCCGTTTTATATGAATTCCATGTTGTACGAGTCACTTAGATTTTACAAATACGTGTGCCAGGCTGTGAACAGCTCACGTATTTGTAAAATCTAAGTAACTCGTACAACATGGAATTCATATAAAACAGAAAAATCAACAGTGTTATAGGGGGGTCGACTGTAATTAAGGAAATTGCCATGGTCAGTATAAAACTGGGTGCTGAGATGGTTAATTTTGATCCATTTGTAATGGAATGAGTCAGTGATGATGGGGAAGAATTTTTTTAGTGATAGATTGCCAAGTATTCCAGGTATTTTGCCACTCATGTAGAAGGTTATTCCACAGTAAGTTTTTAAGGGTGGATTTATTTATTTTATTGTAAGTGATAGAAAGAGAAGAGCCGTTGGTGGCAGATTTTGCAAGAGTGTCAGCTCTCTCGTTTCCATTTACTCTGATGAGCATGGGTCCAGATTAAGGAGTAGTTGTTTGAGGAAGCCATAGTTGTGTTGTAGATGTCAGTTACCAGTTCATGAGGTTTCTTGCTTTTGATAATGGCAATAGCTGTCAATTATAATATTAATGTTATGGCTTTTGTAGTTATTTTCACACCATTGGAGGGCAGAATTGATGGCAAAAAGTTCGGCTTGAAAGACGGAGCAGTGGTCAGCAAGTCGAAGTCGCTCGTGGAAGATTTCGTTGCCATCACAGTAGGCCACAAACCTGCATCCAACATGATTGTCCATTCTGGAGCCGTCTGTAAAAACTTCAATTTTGGTATTTATATTAACATCAAAACTAATTGGATTACGATGACCTGGGAACTGAACTAGATAGAAAGGGGTAGTTACTTCCAGATCTTTGGCACAGATGCGGTGGGAGGGGTTAATATTAGTGTCGTGCCCCCATTTAAGCCTCCAATGCTTGTGAAAAATGTCAATGACCATCTCGACTGGAGGTTTCTTAGCAATCACCTGCAAACCAACAGTCGGGGCAGTACGATAGGCCTTTGTAATAAAGAGCAGAGCTTTGTGTTGTGCTGATGTTAAGGATCTGCGAGGATGGACTTTGTGGGCTGCCTGCCCTCAGGTGCCGCAAGCATAGGTCAAGGTTGGGATAAAAATGGAATCATATATGGTCGCCATGGCCTCAGAGTTGAGGCCCCATTTATTTTTTGCGTACTTGCCAAAAGTATGAAAGATAAGTCCAATTCGATCTGCAATGTTCTTGATATGTTGGGTCCAAGTAAGAGTTGGGTCTAGAGTAATTTTCAAGTATTTTAAAGATTTAGCTACTCTAATAGATTTGCCATGCATCTTGATTGTTGGGACACGGGCATATAAATTTTTACTACGAGGTTTATTGAACATAATATACTTGGTTTTGTGAGCATTGAAGCTAAGTTTGTTGTTTTCTCCCCAAGTGCAAATGTTTTTTAATACCAAGTCTGCTCTGTGCTCTAGCCCTGCTCTGGAATTACTGCCGATAAGTAGGATTACATCATCGGCATAAGCTGTGATGGAATCTTGTCTGAAGTCCTCATTAAGAAAAGAATCAAATGCAATGTTCCATAGGGTGGGGCCGCATACAGACCCCTGTGGGCAGCCACGCTCCACCTTCCGCACACACTTGTGATCGCCATATTGGAGGATGGCCACTCTGTCATTTAGATAGTCTTTGATAAGTTTGTATAGGTTAGAAGGGCAGTTGATATCTTTAAGATGCTGTAAGATGAGAGGCCACCAGGCATGGTCAAAGGCCTTGGAGATATGTAGACTGATTCCTAGGATGTATTTATAGTTGTTGGGTAAGGACTTGATGTTGCTGATGACTGTGTTGATGGCTTGGGGGCACAACGTTGGGGTCTGAAACCATATTGGTGGTTGCTGAGGTAATTGCCTTTTTCAACATGTTAGATGAGTCTGTTATTAATTAGTTTTTCCAAGCCCTTTCCCATTACTGGTAAAAGAGAAATTGGGCGGTAGTCATCAGGGTTGTCTGGTTTAGGAATGGGTATAATATTGGCAATTTTCCAGGCTTTGTGGAAAATACCATGCTCTAGACAGCTATTGAAAATCTGTAGTAGGGCATCGGGAATGAGCCTCCAAATTTGCTTGGCAATATCTGTTGTGATATAGTCCACACCAGGGGCTTTACCTTGTTTGAGAGTGTTGAATATGTGATTTATATCCCCATAAATGAATGGCAGCATGTCTGCAGTATTTATATTATCATGGGTGTTGTTTCTAATATTACTATGGAAGTTGTTGTCCAGTTCAGGTGGGTCTCTAAGCAGAAGTTATCCATTTGGGCCTGAAGTGTCTCCTCCAGGTTTTTAGTATATGTATCATTAATATTAGTCGTAGAAATAATGTGACTGTGTCGTAGCTTGTTGGTACATAATTTCATGATGTAGCCCCAAGGATTATTAGAGGCCTTGGAGCAGTAGTCACGCCAGGATTTGAGCTTGGATTTCTTAATTTCCTTCTTGTAGATCCGTTGATGTTGAAGGTATTGAGTTCTGAGGGTAGATCGTTTGGGTTCCATGAAAGTACGTTGGTATATTTTGCGGAGTTGGTTGTTGGTCTTGAAGGTCGGAAAGGATATGATTCCACCATGGACCTGTCTTCCTTTAGGGGAAGTCCTAGGAATGTAGAGTTCACAGGCGTTGGAGATGAGCTGTATGTTGGTGTCCAGTGAGTGACAAGTAGAGTCTATATTCTGGTTGTTGGAGTCTACAAGATGTGTAGTGAGATAGCGTTGAATTTCAAGCCAGTCAGCACGAGAGATGTTAAACTTTCTGTTGCGGTTAGGATAGGTGGGTGTCTTGGAGGTGAAGGTGATGTAAGAGTGCCCAGAAAGAGAGTCTTCCGAGAGAACCTTCCAGTCAGAGATGAGGGGTTGGTAGTTGGTGGAACATGACATAATGTCGATCCAGCTTTTTCCTCTGCTGGAGGTAAAAGTAGGTGGAGAGAACGGGTTGTTGATGACTAAAAGGTTATTAGAAGCAAAGAAATCCTCAAGAATGTTACCTCTGTTGTCAAGCTGATTACTCCCCAGCAAGGGGAGTGAGAATTTGAGTTTCCAGCAATGATGATGTTCTCCCCTGGAAGCAGTTGATAATATTTTGTATCTTAGAAAGGATGTTGTTGATGTTATCACTGAGTGGGCAGTAGATGTTAACCACAATAAGCCTTCCTAACTTGGTGCTGACGTCACTGCAAACAATATGCTCGCTGCCGAGATGTCTATGGTGAAGGACAGTAAGGTCCTTGCTGACAATGATGTTCATTGCCCAAGGGTAACCATTAGTGCTTTGATAAGTGCTGCAGTATTTCGGTAGACAAGCGGGAGTGTTCCGGATACAGTATGGCTCTTGCGTGAGTATGATATCGTAATTACTGAGCTGAGTGTTGAGAAGAGATGTGGCGCTAATGCCTCTGTCTAGATTGATTTG